AGTCTACAAAGAAGGTGTTTAACTATACCAAGTTGATCTGTCAAATTAGAATAATAAACTAGAACAATCCCCAAGGTCCCAATAACATTCCACAGTTCAGCAGGCTCTTCTCCCTTAGAATGGGTGTTCTCCAGGAGAAAGCATACAATATACAGCCTCAAGCTCTGTGAGGAAATAAGTTTCTGTTATTTGAGCCACCCAGTCTGTAGTCCTTTGTTATGGAAGCCTGGGCAAATTAATGCGATAGGTATCAGGATACCTACTAACTGTACAAGTCTGCCTCAAGCTTAAGAATAAGAGAAGAGAACCCTTGTGCACTGTTGGAGGGATTGCAAATTGCTGCAGCCACTATGGAAAACAGTATGGAGATTCCTCAAAAAACTAAAAATTAAGTGAGATTACAAAAGGGCAGAGCACACAATTAATAAATTATAATAGTTGTTATTAGCTTGAACCACATGAAATGGCTGATACTTGATTATTTTTGTTCTCTCAAATGGCAATTCCATATGGTTTACCCTAAAGTTAATGTTGGATAAAGGCAGCATGCACCATGGTTAAGAATATAAGCTCTAGAACCAGGATGTTTAAGCTAAAGCCCTACCTCTGTCACTCACTAGCAAGTTACAGAACTTTTCTAGTTCAGTTTCGTAGCTGCAAAATTAGAATACCTACTCCATAGGATGAGTGAAAAGATTAAATAAATTAATCCAGGCAAAACTCTTAGATTAACACCTGATACTGTCTTCAATGAATGTAACCTGCTATTGATATTATTAATAATTAAATGAAGAAAGTACATTTAAATATCTCTGAAATTAATTCCAATACCTAATTCTATGCTGTTTTGATAAAAGAGAAATAAACAGTGGCCATTTAATTGTATAAAACAAAGAGGCTAAACATTAAGTGCTGAAACATTGTAGAATCAGGACTTATTTAGATAAAAATGTCTCATAATACCTTAACAGTTTGTCTGAGTCAAGTCTAAAACAACTCGAGTGCTAAAAACATGTGATCTTAGGGATAAATCAATATTTTTTAAAACTTCTTAAACCGCTAAACATCTTTAAATATTTCACATAGGAGAAAAGCTAGAGGTCCATTAAGTACAGAGTTTAATATGTTCTTGCGTAGGTTTATAGAGTTGTTCATTATTAACAGGCTAAATATTGAGCTGACAGGGTCAACACACCAGAATGGTAACAAACCCAGGAATTCAGTGCTGATAGGGTCCAAACCACTTCAACCTCATTTTTGTTTTTGGTAAAATGAAGAAGAAATCTAAGTGAAGATAGCAAAGCTCTCTTCCAAATCTAAAATTCTACAGTCTCTATCATAGACTAAGAATATAATGACTACACGAAAGTAATATAACCCATTTTGCCTGTCAATAAATAGGAACTAAATTGTTTTTAAATATCAGAATATTAAAAAGAAAAGGAAACAAAAAATACACTTAGGTAAAAATATCTGGTATTGAAACCATGGTATTTTGTGCAATAAAAGGAAAAAGTTAATGATCAATCCTTTTCTGAAATTGACAGGAGGCATATATGCCTTCTCAGCCAAAGTAAAGTTGCCTAGGCCAGCAGTGAAACCAATACTGACTTAAAATCCTAGGTCCCTTGGTCCCGGGACTCCAATCTTTCACCATAAGAAACTCCTATAACATCAGATTTCTTTCTCTGAAATATGTTAATTATAATATAACTCTCAGGACTCTTGAGAGGGTAAATCAGTTAATGTTTCCAAACCACTTGAAGGATAATGATTGACCAAAGAAAGATCATCACTATGAAATCAGAAAAAAAAAAACAAAAACCCCTCAATGCTCACAACATTCTTCTAATTACCACAGGTATCTCAGGAAGAGTTTAGAAAAAAAAAACTTCATAACAATCTAGCAGGTCTAAAATAATAATTGTAAGACAAAGCAAAAAAAAAATTCTTATCATGGCATCATAAGAATAACTGGGTTAAAACTGAAGTCCATACACTTATGTTAGTTTTGGGAGAAAGATATAAAACAAAGACATTGAATCTGCTGCGATAAAACTCATTCTCTTCTCAAATTAAAATGTTTATATCAATTAAATTATACTCTTTAACCATTAAAATGTCAGAAATACAACTCACATAAGTGGACATGAATATGAAAGATTTTATAAATGGTATTCTCAAATTGCTCTGACATTTCAAAAAATTTAAGAAATTAAATTTCTCAGAGATGGTCATAACACATTAGTACTTTCCACTAAAGTACAAGCAACTACATTTTCCATTCTTTGAAAATAAATAAAAACAGATTTTTTTTCCTTTCTTTTTCTTTTAAACATCAATGTGTGGTTGCCTTTTGAGCACCCCCTACTGGAGACCTGGCCCCCAACCCAGGCATGTGCCTGACTGGGAATCCTTCCAGTGACCCTTTGGTTCACCAGCTGGCACTCAATCCACTGAGCCACACCAGCCAGGGCCAGATTTTATCTTAAGTAATTAATTGAGTCCTTTATCTAAAAGGTAATGTTACCTTAATAAATTTAATTTTTAAAATAGTTGTTATGGGAAGATGGAGTAAGTTATTGTTTGGTTGGTTGGTTAGTTGGGATGTTGTACTGGCTTCCCTCAAAAGACTTTTTACCCCCGTGTATAATTTTAAGACTCCAATATTCACAGCATGGACTAATTAAACATCTTCTAGGATGTACACAGTCTGATTAGTGCATTAACTCAAACATAAACCAACCATAATCATTTCAAAAAATGATTATGAAAAATCATTTTTTCATAATGAAAAGTGCTAAGACATACTAATTCTAACATTATTTTATTCTCTGTCACTTAAGATCTTCTTTTCCAAGTCAGTTCTTATGCATTTTTTTTTAATATTTGATTTTGGTGTGAGAACAGTCACCTGGCATACTAGTGATAAAAATGAATACTTCAGTTCTGAAAATTAAATAGCTTTACCTTTATTCTCAAAGGCTCTCACCATCAGATTAGAGAAAAGTCAGAGATATTATTATAGTTACCTGCCAATAATTGGAGTTCACAGCTCTCCCTCCAATATCAGTTCCTATTCTGGAGAGGGGGAGCAAGATGACTACCCAAATTCTGATGTCTTTTTATTGTATGAATTGATGGCTAGTTGTTTGCTTTAAAGCAGAGTAAGTGCAATATGGCCATTATGGTAGGAATATCTTCCCCCACAGTCTACACTTGTGCTACCAAAAATGGTGGCCACTAGCCACATGTGGCTAGTGAGCATGTAAAATATGTGTGGAGCCATGGAGGAAATGAATTTTTAGTTTTATTAATTTTATTAATTATAAATTAAAATTTAAAAGCTGATACTCATTTGTTATCAGAAAAGCTTTAAATATGTTTGGAACAACTTGAATATATATACTATATTACCTGTAAAATTTTATAAAATATAAACATAGGTGCCCATCAGTAAATGAGTAGATCAAAAAACAGTGGTACATTTACAGAATGGAATACTACACAGTGGAAAGAAAGGAGATCCTACCCTTTATGACAGTATGGATGGAATTGGAGAGCATTATGCTAAGTGAAATAAGCCAGGTGGTGAAAGACAAGTGCCATGTGATCTCACTTATAAGTGGAACCTAAACAACAAAACAAATAAATGAGCACAACAGAACCAGAGACATGAAAATAAAGAACAAACTGACAGTGACCAGAGGGGTGGGGGGAATGGGATAACAGGACAAAGAAGAGGAAGGCACAAGTCAAAGAACATGACCCATGGGCATGGACAAGGTGTGGGGGTAAGATTAACTGTGGATGGAGGAGGCCAGAGGGGTGGGGAGGGGAGAGCAACGGGAAAAATGTAGGACAACTGTAGTTGAAAAACAATAAAAAAAGAAAGTAAAAAAATATCTAAACATAGGTCAGTATTTCTGATGAAAATTTAGTGACTGAATTTTGCTGTGCCTAAGTATATAAAACACAAGGTATATTTCAAAGAATAGACAAAAATAATGAAAAATATCTCATTGTTAAATTTTTTTACATATTGACCATATTTTGAATACTTCAATCTATTATAATGCTTTGGAAATATTATTTTCAATAAAATATATTATTAAAGTTAATGTCACTGGATTTTTGTTTTTAATATACTACTGGGAAATTTTAAATTACTCATATTTCTTTTGGGCAGCACTAATAAAGAATAATAATAGTAAACAGTGGCATAAATATATGAGATGGGCCACTGAAGGTTTAGAAACTCTGTGTAGTGTGAGAAAAATGCCAAAGATCAGACAGCACTGCATTCAAATTCAGCTCTGACACTGACCATCCAATGGTACTTGAGCAAGTCATTCAGCTTCCCTAGCCTGTATTCCCCCAAGTGTAAAATGGGAAAAATAGATTCCTGGCTTTAACAAATTATTTGTAAAGTACCCAGTGTATCATAAGTTTAAATAAACCATTAACTAAATAGTTGTTTTGCAATAGAAAGCAGAGATTTCAGACAACTACTAAGAATGAACTGCTTCTCAATGTTAGTTAATAAATACTGCATCAGACACATATTTTGTGAGAAATGGCAGTAAAAGGAAAGACTGCAGATATCCTCTGGATAAGTTTATGGTCAGGCTGAAGTCTTGATTAGTGAAAACAAAAAGCCTGCCACTAGCTGGTTGGTCCTCCTGAAGAAGCAGATCCTTCAGGGCACTCTGCAGCTGATAAGAAGTAGCCAATTTTCTCAGGCACCACCACTAGCCTGGTCAGACAGTTTCATCCACTTCACTCTAGCAGACAATATCTTTGGTTCTTCACAGAGTAAAATCATTTTATCCCAGACAAGTATAAATGATAAATCAAGAAAACTTGACCACTTTAGAGAATAACCAATATTTCATAGTGTACAACCTATGTTTCTTTAATGAATGGAAGAAATGACCAAAGATTGTAGCAATGTCTGCCCACATTAAATGCATCCACCAGGTCACCCGAATCCCACTTACCCCCAACATCTGGTGGAGGTAGTGATACTCTGGCCCTTGATTATACAGCAGGAAGGATTTCCAGAAAAGCAAAACGTTCAGGGAGAGCCAGATAAGCTAAATCATACAAAAGGAGAAAACAAAAATGAAACATAGCATTACTTGATGAATGGAAACATTAAGTGCTTTCCTTGGACACAATACTTTCAATGAAATTTCAATTAGTAATTGAAGGAAGCAATTTCAATTAACCAGCAAGTTGAAAAACACTAAGAAAAACAAATCTGACCTCCCTCAGTCCCTGCACTTAAGAGTAAGCATTTGGCCTGACAACAGGTCTTCTGAGTGACCTGCAGACATTCCCGGCAGTGCAAAATAGGAGTAAGAAATAAGTGACATCACCATGTCCCAAGAGTTGTATATTGTTAAACCAAATCATCAAGCAGAAACAATCTAGGAAAAGAGCAAAGATATGAAGATGTTCAAAGGAAGATGTTCTTAAGAAAGAACAGTGTTCATTAAAGTCATCCCTTCTCCCTCCATATCCACTCTCCCATCAGTGTATAGGAAAGTTTTCATGCATTGGAGGAGGGGTGGGATCATTACTGTCTGCAGGTATTAACAGCGGAAAGTTTTATTAGTTGAGAATGTTCGAATTAGAGGCAAAACCTCCATGTCCAGCTTCCCACCCGCGCACGCTCAGAGAATGAATCAAAATTGCTGCACAAGAGACCCAATGTGCGTTTGGCCCGCCATCCTACCAGGCAGAGGTGTTTAACCCCTTCATTGGCCAGCCAGCTTCTCCAGGACACAGCCATGCCGCCAGGCCCACCGTGCTGTGCTCGTCTCCCGCCGGAGAAGGTGCAGCTGCAGCCGAGACAGTAGTTACGGCAGCGCCGGTGGGGCGGGTCAGGACAGGGAGGGGGCGGTGGTCAAAGAATGAGTGGAAGCCCAGAGGCTGGCGCTGAGCCAGCCGGGCGGGGTCTGCGCCCGGGAGCCGGGTCTTCCGGGCGCGGCAGCTCCGGGCCACACTGGGGCTGCACTGCCCACTTGGTGGCGGAGCGCAAGTTCCCTCGGCCCAGCAGCCCAGGCTGCGCTAGGCGGCTCTGCCGTTCCCGTTCCTTTGTCTGGGGGCCAGCCTGTTGTGGCGGCTGCTGTTCAGGATGCCCTGGGCTGGGAATTAAGAGGTGTCCCGTACCCAGCCTCCCAAACTCCAAAAGACAAAGATGTGGAAAACAATACTCATACTTGAAGTGGAGACCCTGGACTCCCTTCTCTGTGTGTATGAACGAACACACATACCTAGTTGTTTTGGAGAGGTCGTCCACCCTACCTCCCCCCCCCAAAAAAAAAGTTCAACTCAAAGAGACTTGGTACCGAAATCAAGGCCGGAAATAGTCTTTTGTATACTAGCGTCTCCTTCTCCCAGCCTTGCTTTCAGCCTCTCATCCCACCCTGAAACGTCTTTCCCTTCTCAACCCATACCTGGAACCTTCCTCCACTTCCCTCTTCCCTATTTCCCCATCCTTACTCCAACCCACATTGACGCAAAGCTTAGAAAATTCTGAATAAAATGAGCCCAGAAGTTAAGGGTTAAAGCTTATGTAATTCTTAGGGGCTTTAGGGAAGCTCTCGTTCACACTATTTAAGAATTTGCATTTTACTACCTAGTGTCAGAGTCTGTTTATTAACCAGAATCCTCTCAAACCTGTATCAGAGGCCAGGTGAAGGGCGAGAAGAGTGTGGGATTGACACAAGGTACCTGCCTTACACTGAAAAATATCAGTGTTAGGGAAGAGAAAAGAAAATCATTCATGCAGAAGAATATCTCATGAAAAGTAAGTGTCAATAAATGTTTGTTAAATCAGAAACTTCCCAACATTGACAACTAACCAGCAGTGGAAAAAGTAAACAATTAGCAGCCTAATCTCATGGCCTTCAAGGCTCCTCTTTTTTTAAAAAAACAATACATTTCACAATACATGACATAATATATAATTGAAACTAATATTTCATAAAATCACACTTTCTTTACCAAGTACAATGTAGTTATATCAATTAATTTCATGAACTGATTAATAACTGATTCAATTTAAAGCTTGAGTGCTCCATAGCAAATCCCAGTTATATTTCACCAAGTTATCTTTCTAATAGTCTGTCTCATCTTTTTGATATATGACTTTCCTGTTTCATGCATAATCAAATACTGAACACTGCCTAAAATTCTTCCCGGAGTACTCAGGGAACATGTTATTTATAAATAACACCCTGTGTTCACCCCATGTGATACCTAGGCGCCAGAAAAAGAGCAGAGAGCCCAAGGAATTTCACCACCAGAGAAGGTTCAGATTCTAGGACACACTGGTGCTCCTCGGATTATGCCCCTGTGTAGCCAGGCCAGCGCCATAATCTCAATAGATGGGAGGTGGGGAGGGCCTGAAAAATGGTTTGGTTCTTGTCATGAGTTGAGAGGAGTGAAGCAATTGAAGAATAGTAGTATAAAACACATTGTTTTAAAAGTTCAGCTACTCCCAGGGGGGAATAAAGTCTAGCTCGTAATAGCTGTCAGGCACTATCCTTGTTACTTCGTGTACAAAATCTCATTCAGTTCTCATACAATAGCCATGTGGCTGTCAGTGCCACCACGTTAAAACAAGGAAACTGAAGCTAAAAGAGATTGAAAAACTTTCTTGAGGGGGTGGGAGAAATGGGGAGATGTCGGTCAAAGGGTACTAACTTCCAGTTATTCAATGAGTAAGTTCAGGAAATCTAATGGACAGCATGTTGCTTATAGTCAAAATACTGTATTATATACTTGAAAATTGGGAAGAGAGTAGATCTTAAAGTATTCTCACCACACAAAAGAAGTGTTAACTATGTGAGGTGATGGATATGTTGGCTAAAGCTAGTGATGGCCATCATGTCACAATGTATGTGTATCAGATCAACACAGTGTTACATGTCACTTATATCTCAATGAAGCTGGAAAAATATCATGTTAATTAAAATAACAACATTGCAGTAAAGATGAAAAATAAATTAAAAAGACACTTGCCTGAAATGTTAAAACAGTATTTGTTTAGGACTCAAACAACCCATAATCAGATACCTTTGTGAAACCCTTTTGTAAAATGACCGAATGCTAAACAAATGTTGATTGTTATCACTATTTTCTTATAGGAGCTCTGTGCCTCTGTTTACTTACAAGGAAACAATACTGCAAGTTATCTCCAGGAGACAGAGCTATCACCTTGTGTTATGCAGGAACTCTCATTATTGAGTTTCTCTTCAATACAATTTCTCTAGGCCAGATTATTTAGTGCAAGTAGTTAGTACTGTCTTCTTTCCCAAGTTGGGAAGGGCTGGAAAGCAGTGAGGAGGGAGTTCTATAGCTATATCAGTATTCCAAAAATCATAATGAAAACAAGTCACACTTTTGTCATGAGAAGAATGCAAAAGAAAAAAAAATTAAATGACATACCTTTACTATCAGTTGAAATAATGGTAAGAGAGAAGTAATCATCCTATGCTGTTTGGCAGTTAGAAATGCTCTTGACCTAATGTTCACTGCTTCATAAACACAAAAGCTTTCTCTTTTTGTCAGGTAATGTTCTCCCATACATGAAATCCCTGGGGAAGAAATTGATAAATGTTTGCCCCTTCTGCCTGCTTTTATTACTCTGCTCCTTTATTTGGCAACTTGGAGCCATATCTTTCTCATGAAGCTTTCCCTAACCCACCTCTCCTCCATTCTCACGAAGACTCTGTCATCTCGGCATTCTTCAATGGGTTCATAATACTCAATGCACATTATTGTTGTACAACAGAAAGAGCTCTTCCTACTGGAGCTAGCAGAGCCAAACACTGGGGAAAAGAGTCCATATGCAAAAACTGACACACTCAGGGGAAATCTGCGTGGCAGCCTTACAAACTCAGAGACCTAAAGTAACCACATAGGATGGTCTGAAATAAAAACTTTCTAACTAAAAGTCAAGGCAGGTAGTCACGTCCTAAGCTGCTATTTTTGTCTAGCAAAGGTGAATCTTATCATTACCGAGTTTATCGTTTTTTTGCATCTATGATAACATACCTTTGGAATGTAAGATTTCCTTCTTCCGCCCTCCTCAACGCATAGTTACTGCACCAGAAAACTACAAATCCCCTCACTGCTACTGTTACCGTGTTAATTGTTGACTGCTAACTATACAGTACCCACCTGTGTAAAAGTATCTATCATGTTACTTTTTATCCAATGCTAGAGGTCCCCTCCACCATTTTGCTTCTCCCACCCCCCCCAACCTATCACCAGTGGATTTCTTGCAACCCCTTTATGCCTTGTCTTTTGATTTTAATGCATAAAATAAGGTGCTAAATCACCATTCTCTGGAGCATTTCTCAATCCAGTAAGATTTTGCTACCCAACAATGGTCAGTTTGACTCAAATAAACTCACAAAAATCCCCTGCAGATTTGATCGTTTCTTATGTTGACCACTGAAAACAGAGAATTGCAGTGGTGAAATATTGACTGTTTTATTATTAATGGTGCCACCCAGGAGAACTAGATATTCCCAAGCCTAAACTCCCAGATGGATGGCATAAGTTACAGATTACATAAGGCAAAATTACAAGACACCATGAGTGAGGGGGCTCCAGGTCATGCGAGGAGCTGATTAGTCAGAAACAAGATAAAGGTAATAATCACATTTTCAGATCTTGAGAAAAAGTCTGAGGTTTTTTTCCAATCCCTCTGTCCCATCTCATAAGAAAATAGCCAGAGAATCATTCTGAGACAGGATAGTGAGAAGCTAGGAAAATTCTTTGTCAAACAGAATAGGGAAACTGAGACTGATAGTTGAATGCAATGGCCAAGCAATTTATAGCCAGGTTCAGATTGTCACTGTCCAGAAGGCTCCCAGTGCCTGGCAGAGAGAAAAACTGGGAAACAAGGACCTCACCCCAGAGTAACCTCTCCTCCACTGGCCTTCCCTCCCTGGAAACAACATCTAGGCCTCTGTTGTGTTTCAGCTCCAGGCCCAGATAAGCAGCAAAACCAGGTGGGCAACACCGGGAACAGCTGCAATGACTAAAGCCCCCTACCCTGTCACTGACCAATCAGTGGAGACCAAGACCCTGAAAGGACACACCTGCAGAACTGATGCATATTTTACTAAAACCCACTCCCTGAGGCCTCCTCTAAGCTTCCTGCCTGCAAGAGAGATAAAAACTCAAGACAAAGGGCCCAGCCTGTGCACTCTCCCTCTGGAAAGAAGCCTGTGCCATTTCCTTTTCATTCTCCCACTTCTTTCCCCATAAACACACGTCTCCTAAAATCTGAGGCAATGGGCAGCAGCAGCTTGTCCCAGGCTCATCCTTCCAACTCTCCCCAAAGCCCCCTTTTCTTTGACTTCCTTGTGAGCTAAGGCAGCCCAGCCCAGGCTCTCCTGTTGCTTCTTCTATGCTAAGTCCTTCCTCATTTCATTGTCCCCAGCTTTAATCAGTGGATCCTCATAGTCACCTGGACTCCTCTTGTGACATCTTCCCTACATGGAGTCAAGAACCCACACACTACAGGCTGGCCTTAGGCAGACCCACTGATAACAATTCTGCATTAAGGCTCAGGAGTCACAACATAACTTAGGTCAAGATGTTATCTTTAACTTGCCAATGGTCTGGACCTGGTGACCATTAGTCAGGTACAGGATATTGTCTTCTGCCGGGGACAGGGTCAGTAGGAGAGGGAGTTGCTCATTATCCAGGGGAAGGCTATGCTTTGAAAGGTATATTTATAGAGAGAGAGACGATAACTAGACCTAAGATTTAAAGCTAAATTTATTCGAAGTTGTAAGGACCCTCCCCAACTTTATGATCAT